TATATATATGACACAAGATAGTTATAGAAGTTCACAGAACTGACTCAGCAACAGCGGAGTAAAACTGTTTCATCTGAGCATGTGGCACTTTAAGCATTATAAAATATCGCATTATTTAATGAGTTATCGCATATCGCATTTTTCTTCAATATCGCACAGCCCTAGTATTACTATCCTTGTTGGAACATTTGGTCCTCATGATGTAGGGCAGTGGTTCCCAACCCTGGTCCTGGAGGCACCCCAACACTGCACATTCTGCATGTCTCCTTTATAAGCTGTTTTCCTCATGGGGACCAAAAAATTGTTCCCCACAAGGTCAAAAATTACTAGTAGGGCTGTGCAATATATCGAAATATCACAAATGTACATATCGCAATATGCATATCGCTACAGCTTGCAATATTTGGGGCCATGACCAAAAGACAGAGAAAATCACTCACTGCTCTTACCTAAATAACTTTTGTAGCTAAATAAGAATCAGTGCATATTGAATTCAAAGAGTAAATACTATGCAGTGTTTTATTTTACCTTTTTATTATTCAGTTCCTAAACTCATGTTACAACGACTTTATGTAATGCTTGAGTAAAACACTACCGTTCACTTTCAGAAGTTGTTGTAGGAGCATGTGGCACTTTAAGCATTATAAAATATCGCATTATTTAATGAGTTATCGCATATCGCATTTTTCTTCAATATCGCACAGCCCTAGTATTACTATCCTTGTTGGAACATTTGGTCCTCATGATGTAGGGCAGTGGTTCCCAACCCTGGTCCTGGAGGCACCCCAACACTGCACATTTTGCATTTTGCAAATCAGCTCATTAGTGGAGACTCCAAGACCTGAAACTGGTGTGTCAGAGAAAGGAGACATGCAAAATGTGCAGTGTTGGGGTGCCTCCAGGACCAGGGTTGGGAACCACTGATGTAGGGAATACCAGGCGCACACACACATTTCAAACATACTATTCAACTAAATTTTAGAACAAGTCAGATATGTTTCTACATCTGTAAATTGTTGAACAGCAGAAAATGTTTTAAGAGATGTTTAAGTTGCATTTGTAAAAAACAAAAAAGAAGAAAATAAAGAAGTCATTTAATATTCAACAGTTGTCTGTTGTGTCTTCCAGTCATTGTAATTTTTGTAAAATACAAAAACTTAAAATTATCTATCTAAATGAGCTTAATTTATAATGGGGTGAACAAGACTTTTATTGTAGAAATAACTTAAATTTATTAGTATAAACTACTTAAAATATTGTGTTACACCAGCTAATAAATTTGAGCAAAACCGTTCACTGGGATACTCAAACATTTAAGCATTGCCAACTAAAGATTTTTAGGTAACACTGCTTAAAATTTCATGCAAAATTTACTGAAGAAGAAGGATGCAAAAATCATGCACTATATTTTTAAGTAAATAATATTTTGTTCAGTGCAGTGGTGGCCAAAATGTTTAGAACAGTAGTATTTTCACCAGCTAAAAATGGTTTTAAGTTAGTTATTTCTATCTTTTGATGTAGTGTGTCAGTAGGAAATATCAGTTTACATGTCAAACATTCATTTAAAAATCCAGAGAGATTTTTGTTTGCACAAGGAGTCTGACAACAGCCAGAATATATGAAAATGTTTCTGTTAAATTTGTTATAAAGGTAAACTGATCACATTTCTTTCAGTGGGGGTGGAGGAATATCTCTGAATTGAGTAACTAAGAGTATTTCTTACTGTATGACAGTCCTGCGCTGATTCTGCAGGCAGTCCTGCAGTTCTTCCAGAATGTAGCTGCATTGCGGAAGCTCTGGGGCGCCCCCGTCCGGGAAGGGGAGGTGGTGCACTCTGAGTCCATTCTGAGAATAAACATCTAACAGACAGGGCACCCTGTAGCGCACCAGCTCTCCTCTGGTACAGAACACAAACACGTCCTCCACACCCTGATCACACATCTCAGCTACACACAAACACACACACACCAGACAAATCACAGTCAGGACATCAAGCTGTGAACCAAAGCTGTAAAATATATGTGTGTGTATATATATATATATATATATATATATATATATATGTATATATATATATAGTATTCAAGAAAACAAAAATATCCATAACATTTTCAAACAGTGAAATGTATTAATAGAACCACAAACAGGCCCTAATAATTGCAAAAACAGCCAACCAAAACAGTAAAAAAAAATATATATATATATATGTATATATATTTTATTCAAGAAAACAAAAATATCCATCAAATTTACAAACACTGAAATGTATTAATATAACCACAAAAAGGCCCTGCTAAATGCAGCATGGCATAGACTGAATAGGAAATTTTACCTGGTTTGTTGTTTTCTAATAACTCACTGCACAACATTTTTGGGGGGTTGGCACAAACCATACTTATGCAAATAAACTCATATGTCATGAAATGGAAATTGGGGTCTTTTCTCCCCTATTGTGACATATCCAAATGAAACAGCTTCGTGAACAAGAAAAAAAAAGGTAGGACAAGACTCAATTTTGTCCACAAGGGAATTGACTGGATCGTTGTCATTTGGTAACTGCTGCAATGTTCATTAAAATGAATTAAGAATTGTCCATTTTGATTTCATGAGGCTGAGAGGATGCCAAAGAACCTGTAACCTGTGACTAATTTGACTACCTTTAGCTAACTGACAAGAATTTGTGCCTATATACCATGGATTTTGATTAGTAACTGGCCTCACCTTTAAAGGTTAAAAATACATTTTGTTATCCTAATTATGCATGATCATAAAGTTAGTTGCATTTTATTATATGAAGTTAACATTGATTTTAACTTGCTCTTTCGCAAACCAATCAGAACAGACCTGTAACCAGGGCGAGAACCAATGATTTAGACCATTACTGTACGTGTACGTGTCAGCTAGACTCACCAACATCTTTCAGCAGGTTTCTTCTGGTTTCTTTAAATCTGCATCCTGAAATAAGCAGAAATTAGGGCTGCATGATAAATTAAAATAAAAGTGACATCATGTTATGGATTATTCAGGGTGAACCACGGCACTGTGATCATTTACACACAAGTAGCTCATGATCCAGGGTTTCAGTTTGTTTTAAATTAGTATTGGTATTGTAATTTTACAGTTGTACTGTAAAATAGTTATTATTTTTAATTCTTATTATACATTTTTTTTACAAGCATAGCAAACATGGATCAACATTTTATTTAATTATAAAAAAACATTTAAATATATGTTAAAGTTACACTATGTAACTACTTCGGTTCGAAATTAACAAAATGTTAATAATGAGTGAGAACAACTTAAAACCATCCTCCAAACAGTGTTTCATCCTTAAATCCCTATGGTAAGCCTATAATAATTGTTTGTATTTTATTGTTGTTGGGATGAATTTCCCAATTAAAGGCATACTTTCATACCTCTTCTGTGCGTTTTTTCTTGTTTTTGCTTTGTCTTCCTATTGTTTTCATATTTGCTAAAGGTAATTACTGAACAGTAGTCTGACCAATAGTGTGGAGGCATTATACATAATCAACCAATCACGGCATGTGACCTAGAGAAAGTAGTCAAAGCAATGCAAATATGCATATACATATATTACACTGTAATCCTCATTATATGTATATGTAATATTTTACAATCTCTGTTTTTATACATTCATTGTTTGTCCTTATGCAGAGGTCTTTCTCTGATGCATATCTTGGATACGTGGCCAGTCTGGGAACTCTCCTGAGAACAGAGATCAGTACAAATTCACCCCACAGCAATTCACAAAATGCACAGGCAAGAACTTCCTTTTCCATGTTATGAAAGATGTGTTCATAAGTGATGACTGTGTCTAGCTCAGCAGTAGTAAAAGTTTTGCAAATGAGCCTACAGCAACCAGGCCCACTTACATCTAAATTCACACATAAGTCTATTGATTACTTTTGCATAATATTGGTTTCATGTGTTTATTTATGTTTTTCGGCTAGGAGGAGAAAGAGAGCTTCAGATTGCTTTCACTCCTATTCGCTCCTGTTTCCCGCATCCACACATACCTAAACATCATACAGGTGAGTCACATACTTGAAGAATAAACTTGATAAAAATAAATGAAAAATATGTTTGCAGTGACACACACACAATGCTTGTTATTTTGATGAGTAAAGGTGTGTAAATCCTTCAGTTGAGACTATTCTAGATTCATGAACTCCTGCATTACCAGTGATGTGTTTGTGACTTCACTACTGTCTGAGACATTGAATTTACATTGTTTCACAATTTGAGTAGAATTACTGAAATAAATGAACTTTTCCACGACATTCTAATTTATTGAGATGCACCTGTACATTATCTTCCTAAAATGCAGTCTTCTGTTTTCTAAGTGATTTTCAATTTCAGTGTTGCAACAAAAGACACTGCATCTCTACTGCTCTTCCTATTTTCACCAGGCCTTGTTACGCATTTCTGGTGCTGGACATGCAGACTGGTGTTCACTACAGGAGAGCGAGCGGGTGCTGTGGGACCTCTGCACAAGCTGTCACATGACCTTGGCGAAGGCGGGGCCATGCGAAGAGGGGGTGGGGCCTGAACAAGGGTCAGTCCTATTATTTTGCCTGTTTGCCTGTCATGTACAGCTTCAATAAATGTGAATTTTATGAAGAGCTCTTCTGTTTAACTGGATGAAACTGGCTTTTGTGGCAGGTGGTTGATGCTAATTTTAGTGTGTCTGCAGTTTGAGAAGCAGGTGCTGTGCCGAGAGCCCCGACTGTGGCCCTTCCGCTTTTACCAAGTACTGTGCCAACATTAATGCGGATACAGCCAGCGTCACAGCAGGCGCAGGCATAGACAGCACTGTACACCAGAGGAAATTCTGTCGTGTTGGCATCTCACAGACGCTACCTCGGCCCAGTGGCATTTTAAGGTAATCCAGCATGTAATACAGAAATTAGAGAGAGAAAAATAATCAAGCAATTTCAGTCTGATTGCAAATGATGCAGATCTGAAATAATATGTAATTCCCATGTAAACATTTAAATGTAGCTACTTTCATAATTGGATACAAATATATTATCAGTTGAACACACTTAGAATAAATCCAAGAAAAAAATGGTTGATTTATGCACATTTATTTCATTTTTCAATTGTGATTACTAGACCTGGAAATTAATATAAGTTTTAAAATTATGGGCATTTATCAGTTCTAAATGATTAAATTTGCTTCTTTCCAGTGAATTGTTGTTGAAATTGTTCTTTGACAGTGCAATCTGCATAAAATGGTTTAACAAATTAAATAATGAATAATTTAATAAATACATTTTTAAATAATTTATAGTTTTAAGTCATTTTTTTAAGCTGCTTTAATGTATGAAAAAAGTGCCATAAAATTTGAAGCAACTGTAACAAATCTAAAAATATTACATTTAAATGTAGCTAAAATTTTATAAATATATTAAACATGTCATCTTCATAATATCAGAGTATAAGCATGTCTTAATAAATATATAGCTGCTCTTAAGTTTAAATTTTTTTTAAATATGAAACATACATGGATAATTAATTCACAATAAGATCTAAAACATATATTTAAAAAAAATAAAATACATTGTCATTTCATGTTGACTTGAAAAATCCCTCATTTAAACTTTGTACTCAGCAGTCAGATTTAATATAATTAGAGTTTACTTTTTAAAATGTAATTTGATTTTTAACATTTACTAAACATTAATGTCTCCCCTCAGAAACGGCCGTGAGTATATGTGTGATCTGCCCCCTGGTGGCTGGACTGCAGAGTACATGTGGAATGGCAGCGCAAGGCAGAGCCACACGGGTCCCATCTGCATACCCTTCCCTCGTCATCCTAGAGAAGCCGGCTGCTTTCGGAACCCTGTGCCACCTGTAGGTGTCAGGGGAAACCTCACTACTGCTGCCAAGTGTCAGAGCTCCTCGGCTGGTCTGGCCGTGCGTGTGTGTGGTTCCCCGGGGCTTGATGGACGTGTATACACCTCTGAACTGTACCCTCCGCCGCATCGTCTCGATGTCGACTGCGACGTGGCCGACGCATCCATTTTTGACTTCTCTTCTGTAACAACCTCTAGCCCAGATGAAACTCTGAATCGGCTCAGGGGAGCGGAAGCACGTGATGATGAGGATGATGATGAAGAGGACAGCGAGGTTCCAGTTCTCCTCAAACCTTCATACACTCACAACGCTTCAGCCGTGCAGGCAGGGGGAGGATTATGCATGGCGTGGCAGATTCCCAAACGGGCTCCTATTCCTGCTGAGGTTCGCATTGGGGGGCAAGGAAAAACACGTGCCCCAAAACCACACAGAATCCTCAGCAGTGCCTTCCGGCCGATTTGGGACCAGACTTACTCACAGGTTTGAGACATCACACAAAAATGACCACATTCTGAATCACTATTTTGTCCCCCTGAGGACCAATTATAATGTTGGTCAAGCTGTTTTGCACCAAAAACATTGGCTGCATCTATAGGTACACCTTTAGTAATTGCTTCATGACTGTTAAAAAAGTATGTTCTATATAGCATGAATGTGTAGTATGAATGTAATCTGGACATGCATTTGTCATGTGACCTACCAGCATTAGTTATATCAGCTGCTGTTCACAAATCCTCTCCCGTGGCCTCATGGGATAGTGATGTATCCATTGGATGTCACTTCAGAATAACATCAGAAGTAGTAAGACATCCAGGAACTTTTCTCCAGCTGTTTAGTGAAAACAATGAAGTCAGACATACTACTCTTTTCACACACTGTTTTTTGCATAAGTATGTGATTTCGGCTGCTGCCGCTGAAATATCACATGAACCATTACTAAGAAAAACACTCACCTTCCTCTTTCAGGGTGATGCAACTCCTGCAAAAGAGAACTCGGTGTCTTTCAGCTCAACCAATCAGATCATTAATCAGCAGCAAGAAACTGACCAATCACGGTAAGGGGCGTGCATTTTTCCTGATGACCTGCCAAAATATGTATTATACAACAGAACATTTAATAATCTTTGTTATAAAACAGTTAAGCGTTTATGTAAATTTGTATAAAAATGTCCACAACAGTGAGATTATCATTCCTGTCATTCAATTTGAACTAAAGGCCACTTGTATAGCATTTGGCACTGTGTGATAATTTAGGATGCTGGTGCCATCCATTTATGTAAAATACTTAAAATCATACTTAAATCAATTAACTACAAATTTAACTACAAAGTATTTTTAAAGGGGACATGAACTGCCTTGTTTATTATTTTGTAAACTTTTGTTACCAAGATTTTAACAAAAAAATATGATAGGCTATTTTCTGTCCTGTTTTTAGACTCAGAAGTAGGGGTGTGCGATATGACGATTTTTGATCATGGACGATAAAAATGTCTTCACGATCTGCTTTTGAAGAAATATTGTATTATCGTGGTATAGCACACATTCTATCAGCTGCAGTTCTGACACTTCTATCTCAATATATACTGTACAACGCCACTTATTCGCAATCACAAAAGTACATTATTTGCATCTGCTTTAAAGCCTTACTGGTTAAAGGGATGGTTGATTGCGATTTCACTTTTTTAACGTTAGTGTGTAATGTTGCTGGTTAGGCTTTAAACAATATCTGCAAAGTTACGACGCTGAAAGTTCAATGCAAACGGAGATATCGTCTTTTAAAGTTATGGCAGTTTAATGCCTACAAAAATGGCTTGTAAGGACTACAACGAGCTACTTCCCAGGTTTGTGACGTCACAAACCCAGAAATTTACATAAACACGGGAACATGCAACAAAGGGGGCGAGTCAATGTTGTGCTGCTTTAGAAAAGAGGAAGAGTTGTTGCCATACGGTCAGTGCATGCATTAAAAATATATTCATATATGAATCATGATTCTGTCTTCTAATGATTGTAATGGATTCACAAGTTTCACAATCAATGATCTAAAGCAGCCGTTCTTTACCCTGTTCCTCGCATCCCCTGCTCTGCATTTCTCTCTCTCTCTCTCATTCAGATCATCAGCTCATCTCCAACAATGAACTGTTCCAGTTATACACTTTATGTGTATAGACAGACAGACACGTGGTTGCCGTGCTGTATTAAAGCTTTAATCAGGATAAAACCGTATATTAAAAGCTAACATAAGAAGTAGCATTTACAAATAACAGTGTGTCTAAAAGTATGAGACAACAACAAACAAAAAAACATACCATTTGAGCTGTGTGCTTGCACTGGTTCTGCACGATCCTCTTCATTAACCTCTTCACTCTGCATTTGGGCTCAAATTGATAAGCAATATTGACGACGTCATTGTTTACAACCGGAGCACATGCAGCTGAGGAGAGGGGCGTGACGATTAGACGAGCACTGGGCTGGCGGTTAAGCGAATCACAACCAAGCGGCAACCTCCCCCTCTCTCTGGTGAAGCCAACAAGGAAGTGACTTAAACTGTAATTCGTCAACTGGCCGCTAGAGGCTGGCTGCAAAAGGGAGTCAATCCCATAGACTCCCCATGTTAAAATGCCCAACTTTACAGCAGAAAAAAAACATGTTTACAGCCTGGTTCAAAACATGATTTAGTCTATATAGCTAATTTTGCCCTTCATGACAACTGTGAGGGGGGTGAATTTTTTTTTATAACTCATCCGTTTAAATTATATTAAGCCTTAAAGTTCTGCATAATTAAAGGCGTGGCCACTTGAGTGACAGGTGGATTGCCGCTGATCTCACCACCATCGAGCTAGGAGGGCGTGGTTTCAGCAACCTGCTCCCTCTTTGCCCATTTTCGATTATCCGGGAGTGACCCACGGTGACACGCTGCCAAGATGGCGACGGCTGGCTCCGCCCACTTTTGAGCTTCAAAAACGCTCTTCGGAAATCTACGGGGACGTCACGGACACTAGTCCATGTTTTTATACAGTCTATATGATCACAACACACTGGACTAGTTAACCAATCAGAGCCCATCGCGTATTTCTGAGGGAGGGGCTTCATAAAAGCAGGAACTAATCGGAGCATTTATCAGAGAAGGGACAGAGCGGTGTAGAATAAATTTTTTTAAACGCGTTTTTTTTTAAACGAAGCATTAACATGTTAGACTGCACCCCATAAAAACAATCAAGCCTAGAAAAAAACAGTCAACCACCCCTTTAAACATTTCATTCGCGTGCTGTTCTGACATGCGCTTTTTCGGAGCACCTACCCAAGCGCGTGAACTAAAAACCTGTCAAAAAGAGCGCCTGATTACTGAACTAGCTTATCTTTTGCGCTAATACTGTCAAAACACAAAAGCTTTACATATAGACTCAGTTGGTTACGTCTAAAATGAAAGTAAACAGTTGAGAGAAGAAAACGGATGCATGCCTGTATTTTAGATGCGCGCAGGTCTTAAAGGGACAGTACTAAACATGTAGCCGACTGTCATTAAAGGGATTGTACACCCTAAAATGTTATTTCTGTATTATTTACTCACTCACGTTGTCCCAAATCTGAATTCATTTCTTTCTTGTGCTGAACACAAAATAATATTTTAAAGAATGTGGGTAACCAAACAGTTGCTGGTCCACACTGATTTTGATAGTGGGAAAAAAAATACTATGGAAGTCACTGTGGACCAGCAACTATGGTTTTCCACGTTCTTCAAAATAGTATTTATGTTCAGCAGAAAGAAACTCATTCAGGTTTAAAACAACTTTGAGTGAGTAAACGATGGTATAAAAATAAAACACTATGACAAAATTAACAGACAGATGACAGAATTTTTTGGGTGAACTTATTCCTTTTATGTTAATAAAACAACAAAAATGCACAGAAAAATCACTCACTATTCTTGACTGAAAAACTTTAATACAGTTGCTTTAATAGGAATCAATCTATATAGTGTTTTATTTTTATATTTGTTCATTCAGTTTCTTGAATGCTCCTGCTAAATACATCGTACCTGAAAATGAAGCATTGTTTGTTTTATTTGTATATTATGTGTATTTGTAATGTGTATCATTGTTCTTATTTTTAATAACAAAGATAAAATAATGGCAAAGATTTTTATTTTCGCCCACTTTGGTCTAAATATCTGCCATTTTTTAAAATATTTTGTTACCTTGAAAGGCTTTGCCTTTATAATAGGGAAATTTGCTTGCAAAATAGTAAAACTAACATGACAAAAAAATCATGATACAAAAAAAAATTGTGATATGATATTTTTGCCGTATCGCCCACCCCTACTCAGAAGTAAATGCCCACTGCTATGATTGGCTAACAGTTGTGTATGTTTGATAGCCTACATCCTTCATAGATGGACGCTACAGTGATTTAGGTTAAAAAATGCATAAGTACTCGGTACATATCAAAGGAGCTATAATAACAGACAAAGCAATAGTGACCACATAAAAACAGTTACTCACACTTGTGATGCAACATTACTGTCAGATCCAATATTGTCAGCGCAGCATCATTTTTTAGTTTCAATCTTTCTGAAAATCCTGCGTCAAATCGTGCCTTGATTGTAAACAAATCTGCGATAATTAAAGTGAACAAAGAACCAAGTTTGTACTGACACAGTCTGGATCTTCATTAAAAATAAAGTTCATCCACTCTTTCCTAAAGTTGGGATCAGAAGAAAGGCAATGCAAACACTGTTCAAATAATTGGCTTGGACTACAATTCTCTAGCATCAACCTTTTTATTGTAATTGCAGTTTAGTTTTTGTTTACCTCATTTTTGCTACATATTCAACAGCACTTAATATATCTGAGATAACAGTTATCTACATGTCATCTGCAGAGCCAGTAGTATGCCATTATGAACAATTTCTGAAATCCAATAAAACTCAAACTGCCAATAAAATGATGTGCCAATTTATCTCTGTGCTAAACGTAAAACTGAGTGATGCCAGTTAAGTGCACTCCAAAGTAGTAATGTGTGTATGTGTTGTTTTAGATCTGCATATAGAGGGACTGGAGTTCAGCGGGCTGAAGCAGTGTGGCATGACAGCGAGGACAGCGAAGGACCCTGCAGTACAGTCTGACACAAACTGGTGCAACGAATCATACACAGGGAACGTCTCTACTTCATCCAATGAAATAACTGGAATCTTTTTTAAAAATCTGAGATTACAAATGACAACTTCTCACTGTGAACTAGTGGTGCAACGGATCACAAAACTCACGGTTCGGATCAGCAAAAAAATTTAAATAAAAAACAAAATTAGTGAAAGCTTACTTTAAGTACTTCTATACCACAGCAAAACTACTAGCTTTAATAAAGTTAGTATAATAAAACAAGAACAATTACACAAATTACAAGCATATATGAATACAACAAAACACAGTTACAAATAAAGTTAGTAACAGTAGCATTCAGGTGCAGAAATTTAATAATTAAGTGTAAAATAACACAATAGTACTCACTGCACAAGTTAAATACAGATTAATCTTTGTTAGAGCTGTGGTGTTATTTGATTAGCAGACAGAAACAGGTATTTATTGGCTGCTGTCTCTTTAAGACCAAATGCACGGACCGATTACTGACACACATCCGGGTTTTTTTTTCCCAGCTTTTTAGGTTCACTCAAGACATAACCGACTGTGTTTACTAGAATACTTGCCAAAACTGGTATTTTAACATAACTTTGTGTGTATGTGAAAGAGGAATCAATTCGCTGTTCGCGTGGTGTCTCTGCGTGTGCAGCAGAAAACAGCGTCCAAATTAAAATTGCTTGAATGTGTAAACTGGCAAGACAAAACATGTGCAAATGATAAACTTTCGCTCTATGATGGTTAAACTTAACAGTTAATCCGCAAATCACATGCGTGCCGAACCGTGGGGCCGGGTCCGTACAGATCACGGATCATCTACGATCCGTTGCACCCCTACTGTGAACTAACATGAAGCACCACCTCACAACCAGGCCCGGATTAAGAACACATAGGGGTTTGCTATAGCCCCAGGGCCCTATGTGTAGTGGAACACTAAATATTCCAGGCTACAACACATTAAAATAATAAATACATTAACACCAGATATATGAAGTCAAAGCAAACAGCAACTGTTAAGCATATTCAGCTCCCTTAAGGAGTTTACATTAAATAGTTTTATTATTAGGTCTTCTTTCTGGCCCTAGAAGAGGAGAATCATCAGGGCTGGGCTGGTGCTTAAATTCAGCCCATCTGGCCCACACCACACAGTCCCCCATAAATGTTTGCTGGGGTTAGGGCAATTTGAATAAATAATTTATTAAAGGGGTCATGCTGTTGCTAAAAAAAAATTATTTTGTGTATTTGGTGTAATGCAATGTGTTTATGCGGTTTAAGGTTAAAAAAACACATTATTTTCCACATACTGTACATTATTGTTTCTCCTCTATGCCCCGCCTTTCTGAAATGCGTTGATTTTTTCAAAACTCAACGGTCTGAAAAGCGAGGCGTATGCTGATTGGCCAGCTATCCAGTGCGTTGTGATTGGCTGAATGCCTCAAGCGTGTGATGGAAATGTTACGCCCCTCACCATACTGTGATGCCGTGTCCCGAAGCGACGAGACAAAAACAATGAAACGCATTACAATCGAGGCATTTGTTGCATCCAGTGGGGACTGGTTATAATGATTATAATGACTTATACTGTCTTTTTACGCGTTGCGTATTGCGCTGCGTAAACATAAAACCATGTCTGCATTTGTGATCAGAGAAATGATAAACAACAAGCGCTACTCTACACTGCTCAAAACTCACGTTTCAATCATCAGTGGCAAATTCTTTAAATAGGTAAACGTACTTACAGGCTGTGAGTCAGAAGCGCTAGACTGTCCTTGCAAAGTTGGAATTGCCCCACTTTATAGAAACAGCCTTTGTGCCACAGAAGCATTGTAGGCTACTGGTTCAGGAAACAGTCCTCGTCCTCCGTAAAATGTGCTGCACACAGCTGAATATTTGGGTTGAAGTGTTCTGGAACAGTGTTGTAAATACAACTTCATGTTTATTCAACGAAGTCAAACGCCACAAATAAATCAATGTATGGGAAACTGGTAATGTATATCGAAATATCGGAAATGTGTTTAAAAATCATATCACCGTTATTGAAAAAAATTATATCGCGATACATATTGATATTGAATTATTGTCCAGCCCTAGTTCTAGGTCTACTTTTCCTTTCCTCCACAGCACAGCCAATCACGTCGGGCCCCCTCAATCCACGGGCCCTGGGGCTTCAGCCCCGCCTAGCCCTTATGTTAATCCGGCCCTGCTCACAACATCTAAATTCAACAAACGTCTTCCAGCATGATGTGATCTGTCAGAGAGAAATAAACACTTTGATGTAACAATGCACATAAACAGAGGAATAAAAACATTCAGTAGAAAATAAGACTGCGAGTTTATTAATGAGTCTCATGGAGAACATGGTACAAAAGCAGTTACAGGCCTTGAATGCTCACACACGCACGCACACACACACACACACACACGCACACACAGTGAGTTTTTGGGAATTACTAACACTTCAAACCAACTGACCAATCATCTCAGTGGAAGTGGCCAGGATGATATTCTACACATACAAGATGTGACATCACTACAAAACACTGCAGTCCCTCAATGGCTGATCACCTCAGAGACCATATCCGTGGTCGATTGGATAGGAATTGCTCTGGTGATGAAGCCCTTCCTGTATGGACCTGGTTCTGTTGATGGAGCGGACCTGAATGAGAGCAGGAGGCGTGATTTACAATAGAACATTCTGACCGTGTCCCAAAGTTCATGAGTTTTGGGAAACAGCCCGACAGTTGTCCTGACCAGCCCAAAGGACAGGGGTTAGCAGGACAGGGTCATAAGGTCACAGGATTGTGAGTTTGAGTCCTCTGCTTCTCTGTAACAGTACTGCCCTAAAGTGCAAAAAAAAGGCTCACCGCACAAACTTGACACTGGTCCACACCAAACTCTACAACAGTGTGTGAATCTGGTGGGTCTCAGACTGAGATTGTCAGTAGATACATCAGCAACTGGGCCATGGTGCCGAGGTGAGTAGTGAGGGCAGATATGTCACTCTGTACAGAATACTTGGAGCGCATGCACACAAACGGACGAATGGAGGTGTTGTCTAGACATTTGTTCTAAGCATGGTCAAGGCGAATGCTTTCAGACACTTACATTTTGTTCAGTACTGATATTGAAGGCACATTAAGAGTCTGGTGCGGAAATCAAGGGGAGTAAGTATTGGTTTGTGATGAATCGACGAATAGATGAGTACGCCTTTGAGGGGAGGGGTTAAGACATCATATTGGCTTTAAATAGTAAGGAAATAGTAAGGAAAAAGCTCTCACCAAAATGTCAAGAGTTCACCTGAAGGGTACAATCTCTGGTCAAGGTCACGGCTGTGAGTTAAAGGCAACCGAAGAGAGGCGTGCTGAGGGTGTTCGGGTTGAACCCTGGTTGACCTTTGACCTGCAACCAAATAAACATCCACAGCAGAGTCTGACGGTGGTGAAAGGCCTCAGAGCAGCATTTCCATCAGTAAATGTGCTGTCAACGAGCACATGACCTTGTGTAGCTCTGCATGGTGAACGTGACGGATGTGAAAAATGAGTGATAATCACATTCCTCAAGAGCAATGAACGTCTTCAGGTTTTCATTAGCATCAGATTGTCTGGTTCCAGGTTAAACGTTGTTAAAACACACACACACACACACTCACATCTGTATTTTAGGGTGTGATGCTCTTATTCGTTGCTGTCCCTGTTGTCGACTAGCGAGAGAGTGTGTATGGATGGCTGTGAGAGAGTGTGTGTGGATTGAGACAGTTCTCTCTTGTAAGTCTTGGGGGGCAGTTTTGGCAGCGCAGGGGTGGAGTTGTGCCGAGGCGGTATGGGAGGGGCCGGAGTGGGCGGGGGCAGGTGGACCAGACTGGGTTGACTGACGCACGGTGTGCAAGGGCGCCGAGGCACGCGTGGAGAAGGCGTGCCGGGGGGCGGAATGCGGGGCGAGGGCGTACCGGGAGGGGTGTTGGGAGCGCTGGGCGAGCTGATGAAGTCCCAGTGGAAACGGCCTCCTGGAGATGGCTGCATGTTCACTGGGTAGTTGATGAAGATCTCCGGCGGTCGCTGTGGAACTGGCGGAGGTGTGTCCGGCAGGGGATCACGGGGCGGAGGGGGCGGGGGGCTCGGCAGCGGCCCGTCTGTCGGCCCGTTGATTACTGGGACACGTGGTTGCAGGCGAGGAGGAGGAGGCTGTCGTGGTGGAATGGCGGGAGGACTTTCAGGCCTAGAACTCAACTTAAGAGAGGACAGAATGCACTCGTGTAAATGTGACGGCACAACGTGATGCAATGATGAAAGCCTGTGAAATTGACTAAATAATATCTTAGTAAAGCATAAACAGGACAAACCAAATAAAGACATTCTGAAATGCATAATACTGTTTTTAATTCAACTTTTCACTCTAATTATGCTGATAATTTGCAATTCATTTTTTAAATAATGAATTAGAGAAAAAATAAAATGCAACAAAATAAGTGTCACAAATGCTAAAAGTAATATGTATTATGGGTATGTGCTCTTTTTCTTTTTTTTTTAACCATGTATGACTACATTTTTTTAATAGGGAAATTAGTTTGGTTGTACTAACTCAGTAACTTAAAAAAAAAAAGTCTCAAATCCAACTTGAAAAAGAATTGTGATAAGACTAGATCATAATCCCACCTGAAATACATTTTTGCCATATCACCCACCCCTATGTACATAAGTTTGATTCAGTCTAGTAAATTTAAGTTCTTTCAGAAAGTTCATGAAACCATAAATGTAGGGATGCACTGATACCAATACTAGCATTGGTTCCCAAGAAGTCTGGCCTTCCCAAGAAGACTATTAGACAGCTGCAGCTCATCCAGAACGCTGCTGCCAGGATTAGAACCAGAAAATCTGAGCATATCACACCAGTCCTCAGGTCCTTACACTGGCTTCCAGTTATATTTAGGATTGATTTTAAAGTACTTTTACTCGTTTATAAATCACTCAATGGCCTAGGACCTAAATACATTGCAGATATGCTCACTGAATATAAACCTAACAGACCACTCAGATCATTAGGATCGAGTCAGTTAGAAATACCAAGGGTTCACCCAAAACAAGGGAAGTCCGCTTTTAGCTATTATGCTGCCCGCAGCCACATTTAAATCTTGACTCAAAACGTATCGGTTTAGCTGTGCATTTATTGAATGAGCACTGTGCTACGTCCGAACTGATTGCACTGTATTTTATATATAATCATTTTCAATTTTTAACTGTTTAAAAAATTCATTTGAAATCAATTTTAAAAGTTTTTAAATTCCTTGTTTTATTGTTGTGATTATATTTTTTTCTTTTCTTTTATGTAAAGCACTTTGAATTACCATTGTGTATGAAATGTGCTATACAAATAAACTTGCCTTGCCT